TCACATGAAGTTAGAAACTTTTAATCGAAAAAAACTGTAGATTTTATTAGCTGTTTCGTTTTAAAACACCAAAAATTTTAATGTAATACCTTTGTGTTATATACTGGCATTGTCAGAATCGCTTCTAGTAAAGTTGGTGGAACACTTGATCCCACTTGATTCCAAACGTTTATATAAAAGTTATGTTTCTAAAAAACAATCTGGCAAAATTTTAGGTAGCCTTAATTATAAAAATCTTGACTTGTCCCAATTCGAATTAAATTTTCTATTGTAAAACAATATAAAAAGTTTGTATAACAGTGCTTTTCAATAGAAAATAAACAACCAATAAAAACCAATTTCTATTATGCTTATCTACATTTTGTTCTTGTTTTTCTAATTAAAAAATTAATGTGGCAGAGTCTTGTTCACGCACACTCAGAACAAACGTATCGCAAATATTTGACCGAGTTGATAATAAATAACAATGTAAACAACAATGCAAACTAGGGCTCTTTAAGTGCTACTATGTGTTAATAATTCCAAACATGTTCACAGGCACTATCTTTAATAGTCTGTGCCTAAATGTTATGTAAATAACCTGTGTTGAACATGCAATCAAAACGTGAAAAAATGAAAAGTCTACCGAAATGTTAGTATAGATAACAAAAGAATGATTTAATAAAATAATTGATAAGATAAACTTTTTATTTTAATTCTACGAATCTGTAGAATTCAAATAAAAAATAGTTCATCGAATTTGGTCTAGTGATTGTTGAGATATCTTCGTTCAAAGTTTGAGAAAAATTTTGACGTAATCTATTTTGATAGACGCTTTGAATTTTTTAAAACTTTGAGCGAAGATATCTCGACAACCACTAAGCTAAATTCAATGAACTTTTTTTTCTTTGAACTTTGCAGATTCGTAGAATTAAATATAAAAAAATTTTATCGAATTTGACCTGATGGTTGTCGAGATATCTTCGTTCAAAGTTTGAGAAAAAAAATGAGTATGTATAACAGCTGCCATTTTTTAAAGCTTTTAGTGATAATTTCTCGATAACCACTAAACCAAGTTTAATGAATTTTTTTATTTTAATTTTACAAAGCTGTAGAATTAAAATAAAAAAAAATTCACTGAATTTGATCAAGTAATTATTGAGAAATCATCACTAGAAGTTTAAAAAATCTTTCGAACTTATTAATAGGATTTTCAATTATTTAAACATGCATTACATTTTAATTGGCTAGTCAATCATCACATGTTGTATGGCTGATGAAACCTGACACACATTTCAGACATGCGTCAAAATCATAATTCTTATAAATGGGCGGATTTACTTTTCAATTTTGCAAATCGTTTGGTCCTGGTTTATCAGTTGAAAATTGATAAGCCAGGGCCAAATGATTTGCAAATTTGACCAGAATTAGATTATTTTGAAAACTGAGATCAAATTTTCAGCAAAAAATAAATAAATTATATTTTAATTAAATTTTTTTAATCTCAATTATATAGAATTGTTATATAAATTTTTTAAAAAAAATAATGGAGCAAAACTTCCTTAACGTAATGAGATCAAATATTCTTAAACAAGGTTTAATTACAAGAATCTCGAACCAATAAGGTCTTTTATCCAACAATCATAAATTTATTTCATTTTTTCATGTGATCAAAATTAAAAAAATTTTGGATCTCTGCTTAGGTATAATCTAACGAAATTATTAAAGCATTTTAAAAATTATGCTCGTTTATAATTTATAAATTATCATTATCATAGAATTCACAGGACTCAGAACAATGATCTGCAAAATTCACTAAATCGAGGTGATAATGATAATCAAAAAAATTGATAAGCGTATGAAAACTCAACTTGTTATCGTTATTATTATTTAAAAGTAAAATATTCATCAAGAGCTCCAAAGTCTTATAATTTTGAATTTCTCTCTAGTAACACATTTCACTAAGCTATTTATTTTTTTTGCATTTTTTTTTAGTATAGAAATTGCGAGAAGTAAATTTTTTTTTGCCCCTAAAAAACGTGAGAAAAAATTGTCTCAGATGCGAAATTGCATTTTTTAGTATATTGAAATTGCGAGAAGTAAATTTTTTTTTGCCCCTAAAAAACGTGAGAAAAAATTGTCTCAAATGCGATAAGTAACTGGTTTGTTTTTTTTCTGAATTTAAGTTTTTTAAAGCTTGCTTTTATTAATTATTATTGTCATGGAATCACTCGTCAAACAATATAGCTTAATTGAACAAGTTCGTATCTCTTTGAAATTTCTCAATATTAATCTCAACTTTTTGAGGTGAGACATCATTAAGTAAATTCTAGTCATTATTGTATCCGAAGTTATGCTGCCTCTAGGGTTGCATCGGAGAACTGGAAGCGCATCGTGGCCACGGGAATACCTGTGAACGTCCTTCTCCGTTATGTTTAATCCGAAAAGCTAGATCTAGCTTCGCACGGAAGCCTGTAGTGAATAGGTTGCACTGACGATTATAGTGAACTTATTAAGTTTTTTCCTTTTTTTGTAGTTCTGATAGAAATGAGGTTATATATTTAATCGGCGCGCATCAAAAAAACTTGATTCTGGTTAATTGTGATGAAAATACTGTTACCGCTGGTCATGTAAACAAATTTAAGTCGGTGGTTTCTAAATATCCAGAAAATACTCTGGGCATTTATGTAACAAAAAAGGTGTCGAAAAATTCTTTAAAACTCGCGAATTCAAGTCAAGATATTAATATTATAGTTACAAATTTGATCAAACTCAATAATTCTGTCAGTTCATATTTTGAACTTAAAAAGAACTCTTCTAATCAAAAAATTTGTGAACTTATGATGATGAGAACTGATGAATTAAACGATGTTAAGTTTGGTAGGCAGGGGCATTTTAGCCAATATCTGTTGTCTTCTCGCGAGTTGTATGAAATGCAGTTATTTAATTTTTTTGAACATCAC